TGGGACGACTGGAATCCATCTGGTGTGGCGACAAATGGAACCCAGCCCGGCCGATCCCCGCGGCCCCGAGAAACGCGAAGGTAGCGGAGGACCTCAGGGTCTGACACGGGACGGCTGCCCCAGGGCTGCAATGCCGCGGTTCCTGAACTTTCTCTCAGAAGGCGAGAGTACCTCGCCCGCAACAGGTTTAAGTACTCTGACATGGGGGGCGTGAAGGTACCACCGCGCTTAATGATCCGGATGCGTCGCAGGACCTCATTGAGCTTGTGAGAGAGTTGACGCCGGCTCCACTTGCCCTCTCGGACGCAAAGAGAACGCCAGAACACCTTCAAGCCGTCCCAACGAGCAGGATCTGGGCGCATGACACGTTGTGCCTCAGTGAGCCCTTGGCGGAGTGATTGAACCGATTCCCAATCCCGAAGAAGCCGCATGTCAAAACGCCAAAAAATGCAGCGAGGCTGTTCGCCCTCAGGAACGGACAAGGAAATCATGACAGGACGATGATCCGAGATGTACCCCGATGCAGAGGGGAACGAAAGGGTCTCACATCGAGTGAGACATGTAGCAAGCCAGGTTGGGATATACACCCGGTCTAAACGACTACTCTAGCCCGCACAAGACCACGTGGGCGCAAAAGAGGAGCCGTGCAACTCGCAACAAGCGTCTCGTAAGTCAAACTGTTTAACAAGGCGACAAAGCTCACGAGCATTCCAGTTGGCCCTACCCTGGCCTGGACCGCGAACATCGCGGTGAGCGTCCAACACACAGTTAAAATCCCCCAAAAGAAAGAAGGGGTGGGGCTCCAACAAATATGCGTCCAACTCTCGAAAGAAGCCAGTCGATAAAGACTAATCAATGTGTGGCCGCATACACATTCACCGCGCGCAAGCGATGCTGACCAAAAAAGAAATCAACTGCAATGACGCGACCAGCGGGATCAAAAATGCTTCGACATCCTTGACTGAGCGCTCGACTCAAGATAAGAACGCCGACGCCGCGACAGCGCGTGTATCCGAAAGAAGAAAAAAAATCAAACAAGGACGAAGCGATCACGAAAAGCTGTGCTGTCGCGTGCAGAAACAAAAATTAGTTTCTTGTAAAAAGACAAGGTCTGCACCAACCGAGCGCGCGAGGTGGACGACCTCACGCTGCTTATCGGTGTTTCTAAAGCCCTGGACATTCAGCGTGAGGACATGCAGAAGCATGGCCATAAAAATAAAATTCATTAAAAAAAAAACAACTTGAGCGAGCATGCCGCACTAAAAGACCAGAGAGTCGGAAAAGACCTCCAAGTCGGATGGCTTTGCGCGATCCAGGCGTTTCTTTGTCGAGGTTCCGAAGGCGTCAAACCCGCTGCTGGTGCTTGTGAGGCTGCGCTTCGTTTCAGGACGGTCGCAGCGCATGGCGTCGTCGACTTCAGATCTTGAGTCCAGAGACGCGTCGCTGTCCTGTAGTGGCACCAACGTGCTGGGGGATGCCGAAGCCGAAGGCAACGTAGCTGACGGGAGAGGGTTCCCTTGGCCCGGAGTGACGTCAGCGATCTCAGCTGTGTTGGGGCAGATGGTGAGGGTACTCGGGGTGGCGCCCTCGAAAATGGGGAGGTCTTGTCTGGCATCACCAGCCTGCAGAAAACGCGGGGCCGACGTTTCCGCGTGTGCAGGAAGCACATCGGTGGTCGAGGGCTCTGCCGCCGGTGAGGAAACTCCGGGGGCAGTGGGCAAGCAGGTGGTTGCGGAAGGCGGCTTAGCCTGCTCGGGGCGTCGGGAGCTTGGGTCGCAGGCGGCTCGGGGGTGCTGACCGGTGGCGGAAATCCACGGCGGGGATCTCTAGCAGCTGCCGAGTACGTCTTGCGCTGAACGCAGTTTGTGGTGGCGTGGGCGTGGCCGCAGTGTTGGCAGGGCGCAGCACATCCTTCTGTCGGGTGCCCGAAGACGCCGCACGCGTCACTGCGGGGAGTCTTGCAGGCGGGCCCGAAATGGCCCTCCTGACCAAAGCGGCTAGAGACCCGGCGCATGCCACGATAGTCCGCCATGACTCTGTGGCCCTGAATGTGGATGAAGTTGGGCACAGGCTTGACCATCTCCAGCTTGACCACCCGCGTGCCCGTACGGATTTCCGGACGGTCACGGTAAGTAACGTGGCTCAAGCCCTTTACCTTGCCGTACTGCCCGAGGACCTGGACGAGGGCGTCCTCAGACACGTACGGCGGGAGTCGGTAAACCGACACGTGGACGACGTGGGCCTCGACCGGTTCGAGTGGCACCTGGACGTGACCGAGCAACAGGTGTGTGTCCCTGTGCTACCAAACGCTGGGCAGTGGCCATGGAGTTGACCGCTGCCATAAACCTTGCACCACCATGGTACTGAAGGTACAGAAGGCCGGCGTCGCCGACCAGTGTTGAAATGCGTCCATGATGGCGTCCACTGGCGTGTCCACCGGCACGTTGATCACGAAGCACTGCGCCTTAGACGGCGCCGCTGACGACATCGAAGCCGCCATGTCGAAGGCCGAAGCCCCAGGGCACGCTGAAAAACTGGAAGGCACGACGCAAGTGATCGCTAATTTTCGACCAACTCCATTGTTACACAGTTTTAAGCGTAATTCGTGGTCACCCTGAACAAGCACCTGATATACCACAAGGACCTGTCATATAACTTTTAAATTTGCTCGTCAACATCAGCATTTTTGATACTGCGCATGCGGTCCACCTTTCAACCTGGCTTGAGCTGCAGAAATCTCTTACAATATTATCATTCTCGTGATTGTTGTTTGAGCAGGAATTGCTTAAAATCCAATAATTAACAACAGCAAAAACCAGGACTTAGCTCGGAGTCCGCGGGGCTGTTTATAGACTTTTTGGCGTTTCTAACTTAATATCACCATGATAATAATGTAAGAGATTTCTGTAGCCCGTCCAGGTTGAAGGTGGACACTATGCACAGTATCAAAAACACTGACATTGAGGAGAAATTTTAAAAGCGACATGACAGGTCATGGGAGTATATCAGGCGCTTGTTCAGGGTGACTCCGAATTACGCTCAAAACCTATGTAACCGAGAATAGGGTTGAAATTACCGATCACTAAGAGCTGAAGGGACACCGTTCCCATGATTCTTTTAGCGCGGGCTGGGGCACTTGGGGGATATCGCAAATGGTCTATTGAGGCAGCGCCAATACTGCAGACTTATCCGAGGGCAGAACGTGTTAGCATTTTAGTAAATAAACAGGTAGTTCTAAGGACCCACAGACGTGCTTTGTTCCTAAGTGGTAACCCTTTGCAAAGAGGAAACCCACAAACTTTAACATTTCTTATTGCAGCACCTTAATAACGCAAGAGCTGTTCCAAAGTGGCCATGTACGAGCAGACGACATGACCACCTACGATTAGTGTTGTGCTCGTTATCGAAAATATGTAACAAAATAGAGTTACTCATGAGTACGCAAACAAAGTAACGGGTTACTAAGATTCCTTGCCGTCATCCAATTGTAACAAAATACCACTATCGCTACTTCCAAATCTAATCTATTGCTTTCGTTTCCATTTCAATATTCTTTGGCAGCAGTAAGTTGTGTACACGATCTTCGGCAAAAACTAAATTTTTACAGTGTCATTTCATAGCGCTTATTACAGTTTGGATCAAATTTGTAGAATATATTTTCTCTTGGTTGGAATGAAGAAACGATGACTCAAAGAATAACGCAACATTTCTGTTTTGACTGAAGTTTACAGAATTCGAATTATTTGGCTAGGCTAAATCGGAAATTATATTATTGGAAAGTAACTATACTACTGCATTCTGATAAACGATATCGTGAAAAAATTAACGAAAAGGCTTTACTCGTTTGTAATTTCTAAATACAATGAGTAAGTTACTGCATAAACATTAAACAAACTCGCTACAGGTAACGTCGTTATTACGTAACGCGTTCCACCTAACACTGCATTACTTTTGCTGTTCTTGTCTCGTCCTTTTGCTTTCTGATTTTGTTGCAATAGGACGTTAAATAGCAGTCCAACAAAGTGAACACTAGAAGTTAAGAATGCTCAGGACAGCACTTATTTTGGGTCGTGTCCAGTCTTCTATACATTTTTTCTTGCTTCATTTAATTTTAAACCTTTATATTAAATTTAATTTTAATATGAAGGGTCAAATGATAGAACAATGCGAATAAAATATTTCCAGGATTATGTTGGCGGGTAAGTTTTGATTTAAATAATAAAAAAACTTCTCTGCTTTAAATCATATGAATCGCGAGGTAAATCATATCGATTTTTATTGTCCACCCTGGTTGACAGGGGTGCGGACGATTGAGAAGTCGGCCATGGCTCGGGCGAGTTCAGGAGTTTAGGTCATCACGGAAGGCTTAAGACTTAGTGTGATGACCTGATTTTCGAGAGTTACATAAAGGAAACCAACAGCAATACTATATCAACTTTGCTTTATTCTCTACGTGTTTAAACTGCGTTTTAGGCAGACTAAGTAGTGCGCTTTTAAAACAAAGTCGAACTGAAAGGTGACGCGTCTACTTTACGCGAAGAAAAGAAAAATGACAAGCACAGAACGAATATAAGCACGCAACTGGCCGGTTGGCAGGATCCCGCGCCGATCATTTGCGTGATCCATGAGAGAAAAAGAAGGTTAAATTACACTTTCGGTTTGAAATCATCCAGAAAGGCAAGGCGCACAGCTGTCCACCGTCCACTTCCATAATTCAGAATTTAAGTTCCCAATTGGTCTCTTTGAAATCAATCATTTTTGTTCTTATACGCCGGGCTGCTTTCTGAGATGATTCCTAGAAATATTTTCAAACCCTTTGAACCAATAGGATATGTCGATGTCGATAAAAATTACGACTTGTTAGGAGAGTCACTTTTTTTGGTCCGTCTAAGGATATTCTAAATACAAATATAGTATCTATGAATATCGATCCTGAATATCCTCATACATTGATCACCGCATTTTCTAGTAAAGCCGGACAAGCAGAAGGCGCTCCTCACCGTATCTCCAAGGTCCAGGGTAACACCGTGGCCAGACCACGCGCAGTGTACAGTCCAATTAGTCGTTCCACGTTGGGACCTATTGAGTGGTTGTAGAAGAAGAAATGTTCCACACCGAGCATCCGATGAAATTCTATGAACTCAGCGAACCACAGCGCCCGGTCGTAGCTGTAGTGCAGCGGCTTGACGCAAACGGCGAATTTTCCCTTGGGGTGTCCAGGAACACGACCTCGGGTCCTCACAGATATGGCCGGGCTCCAACAAGATTGACTCGTCTCTTTGAGGCGGATACGAACTGGTCTACTATGGTTGTCGCTCTTGGTGTAGAAACATGTGAAAAAAGTCGCTGTGTATTTGAGGTTCCAGTGTTCGCTGCTGGAACGCTTTTCGGCCTTACCTACTGTGATATTGCCATTGGAGAACTGCAGCCAGTAAGACAGCGCAGTGCCGCTCTTGGTCGCGTAGGCACCGATGACCAGTACCGCGGGTCGAGACAGCCGGTCCTCGGAATATGCAGAGTACAGGAAGACCTTCGCCTTTGTCACCGGACTCATACATGTTGACACCCAATCCCCTTCGGATAATGGTTGTTTCGGAAAGATATCTCTCGGAGGTACCTCTGACACCTTGGACGGAACCGGAGGCACCTCTGACACCTTGGGCGCGACCAGAGGCACCTTTGACAGATTGAGCAGGACTGATGCCTTGGTCATGTTCAAGCCGGGTGCCGAGCTCGTCAGTTGCCGGGTCTGGATTTGTGGTACAGTTACTTGAGTGCCTGTATGAAGCAGCAAGTGAATCTGGAAGCCGATGTTTGCGAGGATAGTGGTGAATACGAATGACGCAATGATAGCTGCCTTCTTCCTGTGGTTATAGACGCCCGGTGCTCTCGGCGGCTGTCTGCCGAAGCAAATGCGCCACAGGGGAATTTTATTCCGCATTTCTTGTGGGTGCACCGTGTATCGGCGCAAAGCAGGGGCAATCATTCCTGCGTTGTGGGGATGGAGTTCACTCGGAGCCTGGAAAGAAAGTTGAGCTGCAATCATTCCTGCGTCGTGGGGATGGAGTTAACTCGGAGCCTGGAAAGAAAGTTGAGCTCAATTCGGGTTGCGTTGCATTGATGTCGGGCTTCTTCCCGAAGCCAGCTGGGTACTCCTAGTAGCGCTAAATTAAGCCTTTCGATGTCCCAATGTTATAGCCTAGTTGCACGAGCGCTCTCAACTGTCATTAAGCCAACGGTCATTGACATCTTCCAACCGTCATTAAGCTCAACTAAGTTGCCCGGTGTTACACGGTACATGGGCCTATCAACTCCAGTTGAGATGTGCGATAGGGGACACAGTTCAAATCGAAACAAAACCCAAACTAATGTCCAATTACCTGTTCTTAAAAAAAAAAATTGTATGCAACTGAATTATGCCCACACTTTTCATTTATTATAAGACGTCTAAAACAAAAGAGAATGGATTAATTTTTTCTCTGTGTTTTTTAGAGTAGAGAAACGACAAATAAGAACGTTTCACACGAATTCGACCAAGAGAAATATGAAGCAAGTTTTATCGGCCCCGACATCACACTGAACGTCATTTGCCGAGTTTTGGCTTCCACGACGTTCCGGGATCGTTCTAGCGGCAGCTCTGGCCCCGAATCATACCTCTTCCGACATTATTTGGTGCTACACTACTTTCTAGATACCTCTTCCATTCTTCGTTAATAGTAGGTGCTTCGCTGGTGCTGGCCATGGACGGTGATACGAAGGACGCCGCCATCTTTAGCTCTCTTGGGGCGAGCCTCCATGAGTTAACTGAAATTGGCTCAGTGGAACACAATTATCGTTAGCGGCTGAGTGACAATTGGCGACGCCATGTAATTTCGGCTGATCGCGGTTGAGTCAACTGTCGTTGGCTTAACGACAGTTAAGAGCGCTAGTGTAACAAGTTTATAAGAAGGCGATAATATTAAAAAGGGGTTATTAACACCTTTTAGTTCGAAAGGGCGGCGCAGCAACTTTTTCACTTTCGCTAAATACCGAATGAAATCAATCATCGACATTCGTACCATTCAAAACGCACGATCCTTTTTTCTACGCATTGGCAGTCGCAGGAATCAAATATAGAAAAACTAGCAGCGTTCACCCTGTCAAATTGCTGCCAGAAGAAGAGGTTACGTGGAATAGTGCCGGTCATATAGTGCCGGTCGGGGCCCGGCATGGCCGCGACTAAAGACTTGTGCTGGACCGAGCTTCTGCCGAATCGGGAATTCAGTGCCGAATCTCGGGATTCGGCCAATCCAAATTTTTGCCGAATTTTTTTTGAAGATTCGGCAAGAATACGTTGCTGCCAGACCTAAAACTTAATATATCATTTTCCGTGCGAAAAAAGTTTTTAGGTGTTTTTTTATGCATATTGACACAGTTATTACTAAATAACGTGATATTCTACGAGACAATTGTATAGGTGCCATTTTGTGTTTAATGGTAATTGTAAAGTGAGTTTTTGCAGAAGTGGTGTGGCAATGGGTTTGGGTAGTAGCGTTCAAAGTCACTATATGCGAGTTTCGGTTTTGAGGCCTCGTCAGCGCGTTTTTGCAATTGTCCGTGCATTATTAAAATAAAGGCGGTAACACTGTGCTCTTACTTTCTTTGCGAGTCATCGTTTTTTGCGCGAAAATGATTTCAATGGCTGTTGAGCCTTCACCAGAAGAGACGATAATATTTGTAAATAGCCACGTTTTTTCAATTTGTCACTTCAGCTTTGCATGAAGCATGCGTCCCATATTCGCAGCGTCTCGTTTTTAATTTTTTTTTTTAAATTCCGGTTTCTGATGTTAGGACACACCGCACGTTTAGGAAGATGGGAAGAGTTAGGAGTGCCGGATGTGCAACGTCGAGCACGATAGTTCTGTGTTCAGTTTTATGCGGTTAGATGAAAACCGCGAAATGATATTAACTGAAAATAAATGTTATTTTGTTTTGGCACTAACCACTTGTGAGCGGAAAACACGATTGCTATAATGACGAGAAGAGCTTTAAACTGCTTGTCAGTCAATGTTGCAGGTATCTCGTTGCACCACTGAAAAAATCAAGTAAAAATCACGTCATCCCAAATGCACGGCATCATTTGTCACTTGCACAGTGACCTGCGTCGTTTTTGCGTCAATTTCTGGTCGATCTTCTGGTCTTGAGGCAGAAAATATTGAAGAGAACCACACTGACAAACACACAGTTACCAAGTCGCCTACTCCGCGCTTCGCCGTAACCGCTGGTAGTACTACACTGCACGATGGTAACTGTAAGACCGCACGGCGTCCAATGCAATCCATGGCCCCGTCACCTCGTCGTGTTCTCGCGCGTGCATAGACGTTTGCCGAATTTTCGCCAAACTTTTGCCGAACTCCCTTCAAAAGTTCGGCGTATGCCAAACTTTGGCGAATCTGAAGTTCGGCAGATTCGGTCCATCACTAGTAGCGACGCTACGAAGGGAAGGTCTTCATGTCGTCTGCTTGAAAGACTTGTTTTAAAACATTAGTCGCGTCATGCGAAATCCCACTTTAGCAGTTTCCAGTTGCTACGCGTAATGTTGGATGGTTTTAGAAACTTTCATTGCCCTTAACCACTTCAGGCATCACCGAGCAATCGTGGCGGTCGTCAGTGACATCCACGGCGCCACCCACGACCGCCTTGAGAATTAACCAGGTCGCACCTCCGTCCTCAGGTACCTGACTGCACCATTCGAACCCGCGTTGCGCGACCGTGATAGGGCTACCGTTTTCGTTTCATCGCACACTGCGGGCGAAGAATACGACTTTTTTTGTTCATGTTCCGCTCACTGAAAGCACGACAGAAAGGTCCAGGTACGTACCTGATCTCGCCACGTCACCGTCTCCTTTCGCACGATAAAGTGTGCCTTCTACGGTCACAGAAGGTCAATAGACGCATACACCCAAAAGGATACTCACAACTCAACAATGGCGCGCGTGCGACTTTAATTAGCGTTGACGAGCTCACATTGGCAGACGCCAGTCGGAAGATGGCGTCTGCCGTTGCTGGCTGTAGACGCTGCGTTTGCGCGTTGCTCCATAAAGAAGAAACATCGTTTTCATGGTGACGCTGACCACAGCATACGGAGATTATTGCGCGGAAGGAGACGAAGGAGTGTCTACATCAGGTGCATACATGGTCTCTTTTGCCGTGCTTTTACATCGGCAGAACGTGAACAAAAAGTGTTCGGAATAAGGATTAAACGAGATGGCTGAGTTTCTCCAGTGCCTAATAGTTTGACAAACCTTACACAAAAAAAATATGCATTTTGCTCGCAATTTGGGCCAAGAGCCTCGTATTCAAACAAGGGGCTGAACTACATTTGTGTAAAGCATCTTCGCAGTGGCGTCGCGCGCGAGTTATAGAAAAGGTGTAGATTGTATGTGACGTCATTCGAAGCCAAGCCACTATGGTATGCGCCGCGAGCGTTTGCGGTGCTTGCAAAAGTTGGCGTTAATTTCACCCCGCAGATGTTGTAGTTTGACACAAAATTACACCATCTTCCCGAGGGGAACCATGGGGTGAGGCGGAGCATCGTTCCATCACACTTCATCGGAAGAACGAAGTGAAGTGGAGTCAACAGCGGTGAACTGAACGCGCGCAGAAATTGGTTTGCTCTTTATGTTTATACAGCCTTGATGGAGATGCGCCTCAACGGGTAATCGGTCTCTTAGCTGTAGATGAGAAATTTAGCCAGTGCAGTACAACCGCTAACCTGGGATTCTTAGTTTCGTGATATCGCTAGCAAATTAGTTCTCGTTTTATTAGAAGATGGCTCGCGAAGAAAGGTCGAAGAGTCACGCAGTATATTTTTTGACAAATTGCCAAAGCACCACGTTTGGGGCATCTGTACTGTGTGTACAGATGCCCCAAACGCTCGTATAACTTGAAGGAACCTGCAATTTGCTTTCGATTTCCTTTAGAAAAGTTACTGTTGCAGGCGCCAGGACGTGTAACTACTCCTGTGGCAGGAATATGCCCTTTGCTGCTTAAGCAGTTTAGTAAAAGATCTATAGACCATTTCTGAAAAGCGCTTCTGGTCGATGCCATTCGTGCTCGCCTTCCAAAGCGACGAACACGTGCGTGCTGGGCTGGGACCTAACAAATGAAGACGGCGATTCTCTTAAACAATAAAATGTATAGAATGAAATGAGCTGCATTCTTGTAGATCAGATGGCAGGTTACTGGTCATGAAGATCGCGTCAATGTGACAATTAAAAGAGCTCTGCAACCACCAAACCAAACATCAAGTGCAGTGGAATGCGTATGAAATTCATATATACATTGTTGATCTTCAAATAAAGAATATTTGAGTGAAGATGCAATAGTGCGTAAGGAACAAAAAGACATCACAAAATTTTTAATTCAAAATAAGTTAACAAAAGTTGCTAAAAAGATGTGTACCCATATTTTTTTCTTTTTTTTTTTACTTTTGGAGCAGAATGGAACGCGTTCAAACATCCACCTGCGAGAGCACATTTGAAGGAGTGATTCTATATAAGATTTCTTTTTTTTAATTAAGCTTTGATAATGCAGAGCTTCCATCTGCTGTAAATTTGCGTGCCTCCACTCAACGAAATTAATATTTTCATGATTTAAAAATATCTTTTGAGCCCTATATAAAAAGTTTCCGCAATACAATAAATTAAAGACGTTTTCATCACTTCTTCCGCAAAGAATATTCCACGCCAACCATTTGAAAAACGAGGCAAAGGCTCTATCGTACATTAAGGGAGCTCAATACCTGCTCCATAAACCTCTGTAATAACAGACGGGAACAACAATATGTAGACAGTTATGCCTACATTCAGACTTCAACTTTGTTTAGACGCCCACGTCTCTTTTTCAACATATGGGCCGCGTGAGTGGAACTCCGAGAGTAGCCTGAGCTAAACTCGACGTCCGAGACAGATTTAGTGTTTGGAAATACATTAAAAAGAATCACTGAACCAATTGTGAATGACAAATGTTACTCTGCAA